CATGTTTCCCACATGACCCTACTTTACCTGTACAAATACAAAGCTGTTCCTTCAGTATTATTACAACTGGTATACAAAGATATCTGAGAAAACCCAATAAAATATGGGAGGCCGGACAATTTCCAAGGATCTAGAACGGGATCCAAAGAATTCTGAGAGGTAAAGATATTTGATTTCAATAAAGTATCAGTGATAATAGTTTCAGTTCAATATCACTTGTCTGCATATTACATAATACATTATTCATCAGTCCCATTCAATACATGTTGACCATATCCTTGTGATAACGAAACGTACGTCTAACTAATACACCCACTAGCATTATCTCTATATGTACAACAAATGAATTCTAACTTTACAATAATCCTTAACAAGCTCATTCTAAGAATCCATAGATAGATATGTCACATTCGTGTGTCGGTGGAGTAAGATGACAAGGTGTCGATCATTCACGTGTCAGTAGGAGCGGAAGATATTGCATCAAATGACATAAATATTTATTTAAAAATTCCTGGAATAAGATCGTTGAATACAATCGAGCTGCTTCTGATGTAAATGAAAAACGATCCGATACTGTTAATTAAAACGTGTAAGTTTTTTCAATATGGATGCTTAACATTTTAATCTTTTTTCATGTATAATATCTATTTAATTGTTCAATTGTAAATATCTTCGTATGGTTTGTGTTCTCAAGGTCGACAAGTTTGAGAAGCCGCACTGAAGGTTTCTGCAGATAAGCAGCATCTAAGGGTGCAAACTGCTCATAAGACGGCGTAGACGGTAACATATAAGACGATCCACCAGCTTTCTCAAGTTCTTTTTAAGTGGCAAATGCACAGTCATTTTTAGATATCTCCGTAGTGTGGGGACCCCTTATTTGTCATGTTATACATATGTCGTTCAGAGTGAAAGAAAAGTTGCTAATCAAACAAGGCAATCTTTTTGTTCTAAGGCATCCTTATTATTCCTGGTTATATACAGGGTTAGAAAGACGTGCCAATAATTCTCGGGTAGAAAGAACATCGAAAAACTACAAAAAAGTTCCTATAAATTCAGGGTGTCAAGTTAGTAGTAGATCAACGGAAGTCCGGTGATAGAGGGCCTCAAAACAAATCTAATGAACCCCTGAAATTTTATTGTTCAGGAGATATTTGCAATTTTTTGAAATTTCGAAAAAAAAACGGGGATAAACCCTGAAAATTTCAGCTTGCTAGGATAAGTGCCTCAGCCTAAAAAATCTGTATGCTTGCGCAGGTGGATATCTATACACGTAAACAAGAAATTCTTAATGAGCTTGGGCATTCAGTTCAGCATTTTAGGTGCGGGAGCATTCAATCTTCGATCCGTCCGAAATTACTGAGGCAGACAATGGTCCAGCGCAGAATCTGTACCTAACGGTTGGCATCTGAGTAGAATCATGTCATATTCTCTGCGAGATTATGCAGAAATGCATTACTATTATGGTGCTGCCCTAGGAAATGCTCGAGTAGCATGAAACTTTTTTCGACAGCATCCTATGGACAGATCAATGCAACTTTAACCGAAATGGAATATTTAACATGCACAGTTTCCATTCATGGAGCGTGGAAAATCTACACGCTATTCCCCGACACAACTTTCAACGTCAATTCAGAGATAATTTATGGGCTGGAACACTCATCAAAAAATTAATTGGACCATATGAATTAGCCGCCAGGTTCAATAGTCAGTCATATCTTGGTTTTGTACAAAACAGTTTGCATGAGCTTCTAGAGGATGTACCTTTGAACGATATGCGATAGTGCCCCATGGAGGTTTTATAAGGGGATAATCTATACATGTGAATATACAAATGTCAACCAACTGCGCCAGAAAATTGATGGAGCAAAAATAAAGATTATGGAAAACGCAAATCCATTTCAAAGAAGGTGTCGCTTGTGTATATAAAATATTGGAGGCCATTTCAAACATGTTCTTTAAAACTAAATTAAATTATCTTCCACATTTATCGGTAAATCACCATAAAGAGCGGCTAAACACAATAGGTTCTGTACTTGTAGGTGGTAAGAATTCTATTGCTTTTCTTACGTGTATCGCATCACAACAACGAATGTAATATGATACACTCATCGTAGCAAGCTGAAATTTTTAGGGTTCATTCTACATTGATTGACATAGTTTTTACAATAAAATGAATATTGAAATACAACCTCTTTTTTATCGCCCTCCAAAGTTGAGGGATGGAAAAGAGTTTCCACAAAAAAATGAATTTATGGTTTTATGCGTTGATTTCTAATAAGCTCTGTTAAAAAGTGACATAACCATTTTTGAAACTAACTATTTAGCTTATCTCAGAAAAAAAACACGGCCTTAAGCCTAATTATTTAGTTCTAATTGCAACTGAAAGTTCATTATCCCGTTTTTTCGAAATTTCACAGAATTGCAAATATCTCCTGAACTATAAAATTTCGGACCACACATATAGGGGTTCATTCGATAGGTTTTGACGCTCTCTATCACCTGCTTGCTGTTGATCCACTACTTACTTTACACCCTGTGTATGGATCCAAACATCAAAAAATATTATATGTACGAAGCAGGTGATGATAGTGAGTTAAGATTTCAGATGTTCAGTGAGCACTTCATAAGCAATAAACACACAGAGTTTCCTGGTCCATGCTGAATCAGGGACGTGGAAACTGGGATACCTGGACTCCTAGGAAATATTCTCTACCCCACTGGCCTTTTCGAAGAAAAGAAGTGAATTTTACAAAGCACTATTTAATTCTCCATAAATTTTGTCTCTTAAGGAATTTTTGTCAAAACATTGGTTTCGGAAATATTTATGTTTGAATATTGCAAATCCTAAAATATTCTTATGAAAAGGTTTAGACTCCCCTATTCTAAAAACACAGTGTAGCTTAATATTGGAAACAGTATATGACGTGTGAAGAAAGCTGTAGCAACTCATTGAAACATTAATTAATTTATACGAGTATGCGTGTCTTATCATCAATCAGTAACGCACAAACTTACCATTCATTGAGCATTTTCTGTGCACGCCACTGGCTTTACCAGCATATCAGTTCTTGTTCATAGATAAAGACACTGCGAAACAAAGAGAACCTCTATTTCAATTAAATAAATAAAGCTTAAGATAATACAGATTTAGATACAACGTGGATATTTCTAAATTTTGAGGTCATAATATTGAGGAGAAAAAATAATGCTGAATAAATGCTGTAACATCCTGTAGACTCTTTGACTCTTTGGAAAATCCCTGGAGTAGTTACAACAGTGTTGAAAACCTTCTGTATGCTTTAAACTATTTGTGATATCTTATTTGTTGAGCACACTTAATCCGAAATGCTAAAGTATTTTGTGAAAAAAAGCCGATAATTTCAAAAGTAATATAATAAGAATTTAACTTAAATTAATTGGTGCCACAATTACTAATTGTGATTTTAGACAAAAGTAGAATCTAAACAGGAGAAATATACGATGAAAATCAGTGGCGTGCATATATAGGGGTTAATGAATGGTAAGCTTCTACGCTACTGATTTAGGATAAGACACGCATATTATTCAATTAATGTTGCAAATGAGGTGCAGTAGCTTTTTTTACATGCGATATAGTGTTTCTAACATCAAGCTTCAGGATTTTGCCCCAAATATTCAAACCTAAATATCTCCAAAGCCAGTGATCTGAAAAAAATTCTCCAAGAGACAAAACTCATGTTAAATTGAATGATAAAATATACTTTTTTCTCCGAAAAGGCCAGTGGCGTAGGAAATATTTTCCACTAGGCAAGTACCCCGGTTTCTACGTCCCTGATTTGGTTTGGGCTGGAAGTCTCTTTGTGTTTATTGTTTATGGTGTCTTTACTGAAGGTCTCACATTTTAACCCAGTATCTTTACCCGCCTTATAGATTTTTTTTTCAATTTCGTAAACTAAACTTCATCACCGTGTATCTCGGTTGGCGATCTATAATTTTTTGTTATTCTTAGATACGCTTTCTACCCTAGCGATATTGGTACGTCTTTCTGAAACCCCTGTATAATTATGGTAAAGACAAGGTAATAACCAAAATAGGAAAACTTGTTCTGGTACGGTAATTTCAGTTTTATCATCAAAATTGAAGATTATCTTTGAAATATCCTTGGGCATGTCCATATTGAGATGCCCTTAAACCGTAGTTAGTCGAGAAATCAAAGCAACAATTTGTAAAACAAAACGGAACCTCCTGTTCAGTCTCATTTCACAAGGCAATGAGATGCATTTGAATACTACTGGCCCATATTTTTTTTCGGTTACCGTGAAAGACAGTATGATTATTTACGGTACCGGTTCATCCATTTCCATTGTAAAAGAACCGACACCGCAATCGAAATCGACGGCATTGAATGTAAATCAGCCGCGGCTGTGCGTGGACAGTTGAGATTATAGCCATCATTTAGGCCTACGTAATGAGATACAGGATCCTAAAAAATGCAGATATACTACAAAATCCATGGAAATAAGATTGCTCAGGGTACCATCTATCACCAGAGTCGATCACTGTGAGAGTGAAATCAGCAAGTTGTGCGTTGAAACTGTATCCGAGTTCGCATTATCAGCCGGGTCACCACTGTGGCCGCTAGATGCCGCCGATCCTGGTGCTATGGTGGACACGGTCTATCCTCGATTGAACAGACGGCCAACCATGGACAGCTGTTTTGTGCTAATTGCCAACTCCTCGGCATGGTCTACGGTTGCCGTCAGGTAGGACAACGAGCGAAAGTTAAGAAAATATCCTCCTGTACTTTGGGCTGTCTTGTTTCGATAGACCTTATACTCTGCATAGAAGATAGTTGCTCAGCTATAGTTTATTGTCCTACCTGAGAACAAGCCTAGACCATGTTGATGAGTTGCCAAATAACACGAAGCAGCTATCCATGATGGGCGTCTGTGGTCGGTCGACCGAAATCTATCGTAGTTCTTGTAACAGTACAAGATCGACAAGAACATTCTTAATGCACGTTTTCGTTATAATTTTTTTTATTAGCATGCCATTGGAACATTGTTATTCTACATGTAGTTTGTCTTTGATTTTGACGTGAAGATAAACAATTAATTTATATAATTGGATTACATGTTCACTAATACCTAATTTATTTACAAAAAAGTACAAGACATAACAAGGTAAAGAAAATCTCCAAAAAAAGAGAATGAATATCGCTACGATTAGGTAAAATAAAAGTACAGTAATTTACAATTATTTTTCCGAGCATTCCAATTAAATGACATTTCATGCCTATCGTTCAAAATGCTGGGCCAGAAGAAAAGGAATTATGTATATGTCTACGTTCTTATGTTGACTAACTTTTTATACAAATATTTTGATGTATAAATATTGTTATTGTCAGTGAGTCTGACAGTAACAAATAATGTGTCAATTATTTTTGATCAACCAGCATACTTTCTACCACTGAGTTATTGAATTGAAATATAAAATATGGTTTTGCTTCACTTAGAATCTGCAGAAATTACATGGCTTATTAAATATTACATGCTTGATATGTGGATTTTGAACTGAAATATCCAAAAATAACTTTTAATTAAGCGTTTTACTTTTTAGCTATGTAACAGACTTTTAACAATCATACTTATTATTAGTTAGTTGAGACAAGTGGTCGAAGAAATTGACATATCATTTTTGTACTTTCATTTGATTTGCTCTATTTTATTCATGTAACTAAAATCAGCAGCCGTAGTTGATGCTATGCGAGTCATTTCAGCTTAAATTGCTGATTTGCTGAGACATCAGATACAACATAATCCAAGATCGCTTGTCCTCTTGATCTATTGTTTCAAATCATATACTATCTTAGAATGAAATACTATCTAGGTAAGTACAAATATTATCCTTTGGTATGGTTTTTGAGGTATTATTGGCAGTAGATCTTCTAGTACTCATGTCCATGGAGATCCCCTAGGTAGGCATCCAATGCATAACCATTATAAATGTCAAAATCGTTGAGACCTGCAAAGCAAAAGAAATAGTTCAATTGCAGGTACTATTTTGAATAACCAGGATACAAAAAAATTGTGGTACTTTCAGGTTTAACTATAACCTATTTCACGCCATCCTTATGTTTGAAACACAATAAGTGCTTTAGTATATCAAGCTACTGGACAAATCAATCGCAAAAATAAATCGAGGAAAGCTACCAACGATTGCAGATGGTGATTGTATAAGAGTTCACATCCAAACGCTTTATCTCACTTTTGTTTTATCTTGATTAAAAATCATGCTTTTACTCTGGCGATTTGATGCTCTCCAGCTGTGATTCCTACCAGGGAAGAAGAAAATCATTTCGAAATCAAAAGAATGTATTTTCGTTGTCAAGCTTTTTGATTCGTAATTTGAAAAATATCACCGATGTGGCTGAAACGGTAGTAGTAAACAGTCAATCCAACATACAGGGTTTGTCCGGAAAGTAATATGACTGAGTCGATTTAAAAAAAAATGATTGAGCCAATCGTTACAATTCTTAAAAACTTTCAAAATAGGCTCCTTCTGCGCCGATGCAGCGCTGCCAGCGCGATTTCCAAGCATTGAAGGCGTCACGGAAGGCATACTCCGGAATAGCCTTGAGAGCCGCGGTGCATGCTGCTTGGATCCCCTCTGTCCTCTCAAAATGCTTGCCTTGCATCGGCCTTTTCAGGCGAGGAAACAAAAAAGTCCGGGGGGCACATCTGGGCTGTAGGGCGGCTGCGGAAGCGCTGTCCACAAGAAAGGCGGTGTGAGCCGCAGCGTTATCGCGGTGCAACTTCCAGTCGGCTGCGATGCCTTGTCGGACCCGACTGACCCTTCGTTTGAGCCTCCTGAGCACTTCCACTTACAACTTGGCGTTGACGGTTTTTCCAGAAGGAACAAATTCATGGTGGACGATGCCTTTGATGTCAAAAAAGACAATGAGCGTCGTTTTCACTTTGGATTTGCCATTCTTCCCTTTTTTGGGCGAGGTGACGCCGTCGTGTGCCACTCGGAAGATTGCCTCTTTGTCTCGGGATCATACTCAAAGATCCACGGCTCGTCACCTGTCATTACGTTATTCAAAAATTGGGTGTCACTTTCACATTTTCACTGTTCAAATTTTCTTGGCACACTTCCACTCGCCGCAATGTCTGGTCGTCAGTGAGCACTTTTGGGACCATCTTCGTGCACACCTTCCGCATGTTCAAATGCTGTGTCACAATGTCATGAACTACAGATTTTTGTAAATTTAACATCTATGCAATTAAACGAATACTTAGTCGACGATCTGAGTTCAAAACTTTGCGCACACGAGTCACATTATCGGTGTTTGTCGAAGTCGAAGGTCTTCCAGCACGATCGTCATCAGCAACCTCTTCCCGGCCCTCCAAAAAGGCCTGGTGCCACCGAAACACACCACTTCTTGCTAAAACAACACCTGGGTAAGCCTGCTTGATCATATCAAGTGTCTCTGTCGCAGATTTACCGAGTTTCACACAGAATTTAATCGCGTACCTCTGCTCTAACGAACGCTGCATTTTTGGCTTGCGCCACTCACGGAAACACGTCGCGTGAAAATGCCTGTCCTGACTCTCCAAGTATTCGGAGACAACTTACCAGCCGCTCATTCGTTAGCTAAGAACGCCCTCTACCGAATCCAGTCGGTACGCGCACGCTCCGAAGTACAGTCATGGCGGAAGAAAATGAGTCCTATTTCTTTCCGGACAAACCCTGTATGTGGCTTTATTAGACGGTCAGAAGACTATTAAGATTTCTCTCGCATCTCTTTAGTAATCCAAGATACGTCATTGATGAGGTGGATGAATTATCGAGTATTTGATACAGCAATGTGAATGAATGAAGACTAAGAGTCGGAAAAGTCAATCCGATGACCAATACATTCGATGTATTGGCCATCTAGTTGGCCATTTTGCCCGATTTTTCGTAATACCTACGTAAATCTTTCTTGAGTTTTGGGTCACCTTTACCGTTTGCATATGTCTCGGCGTAGTCATAGAAGAATCTTCCTGTTCACCATGTTAGGTAAAAATAACATGGGAAGCTTCTTAATACTCTTTATCATAGGCCACCGAACTCTCTCAAGCACATCAAAGTCATTTCTTATAAGTTACACCTAGCAACCTCAATACAGTTGCTCGTGTGCATTCAAATATGTGGAAGTCATAGGATAATGTGATAAAGAGTTAACACCTGGCCTCTTCCAGACTCAAACCACTAGGTTATTTCTTACGAGGCCGTCCTGATACCTCATGTTAGCCGCTTCGAATATTTTTGTAAGAAACTTTACACGTGATTTTCGATAGTAAAATCTCATATTCGTCATCTTTACTAGCTCTCTGCGTTGACCAACAAAACTTTTTTTAGAGAATAGTTAAAAAACAACGTAGTTTTACAATGGTCTAAAGTTGAATTTTTATCTAATAATTTGGAAGGATGTGGCCCTTCATAAGAAATTACATTTTTGGGATGATAACTTGTTCTTCAGCACTGGTAAAAGTGTAGAACAATAATAAAGATATCGAGCATAACACCGTTACCTACCGCCTTCCCGTCATATACCTCCAAGTCATCCAAGCTAATGCTATTATCTAGATAATCTGCAGTTTGCTATTGTATCTATGAAAGTGCCTCTATTATACATTACTGTTACCGACAGTTGCTAATGTTAGTACTTTATGAAGGAATAAAATTATACGTGGACTTCCTGTCTTCTTCTCAGTGCCCACGGTCATGCTTTTTGAGTAAATGTAGCAGAATTGCTGCAAATGCACTTTCCAAGCGTAATATGATATTGCACTTAAATTGTTGCTACCGTATACCAGTGTAAGAGTACAGTACAGCCATATGTAAGCTTGATAAATCACCACGTTTCTTGGTCTTTAAATAAAACTGCATGGGTACTTTTTATCAACGCTGCTGCCCCCTCGATGCCCTTTTTACTTCTCACGTCTACAAGCGAGGAAGTATTGTAATCGCGAAAAATTTCGAAAATGTATTGTTTTGGATGTTATGTTATATGACATGTACGAGTACATCACAACCAAGAAATAAATAGTTTCTTAATTTTCATTTACAATATTTCTTTCAAACAATCAAATGATTTAATTTCAGCTACCCATGAATGTGTGAACTCCATTTAAAGCTGTGGTTAGAGGGATTTTAGTAAAAAATAAAATATTTGAATAGTTCAATCCTGTGCATCAACAAGTAAACCTTATGAAAGCTACCAGATAGAAATCGAAATTACAATATTTCGCCAAACTCTCGACATTTATAACATCGATATACATATAAACGCGGCATATTTCGCCATAGTGCACTATATTATCTTGATAGATTGCTCGTGGTCGATATTAATGAGTCCGATGTAGCTCTATGCCATTTATGCTTTGCTTATATAACATTTAATTTGAGCTATTGTGAATCCATCGAGAGTAAAAGTATGTAACATCTTTCGAATAGCGCAATATGTTACGACCGACATATTTTTCATACATAGTCTACCTGAATAGATATGTGAGCGTAATAACAATAGAATACTTGTAGTATTTTGTATGATATGAACACAAAGGGTGATTCAAATCTTGAAAAAATTATAAATGTCATTTTACTCGAGAAGCGTAAGAATGTATCAATACTTTCCAAGAAACGATACGAATATATTTAAAATTTTATACACAAAAATTCCAAATGTTTTTAGTCATTTGTTATGTACGCACATTATAATTTATGACCCGAAATTTTTTATCAAGCGAATATTTGTTTCGAAAAGTTGGAATATATGACATGGACGTTTTGTGGAGAGCAATTAATTAAACATAAATATTATGTTAAGCACTCAGAGATAACTGATGGCTTGAAACAAGAAATCATAGTTGCCATTCATGAAATTCGAGCCCAAGCAGTAGAAAAATTACTTAATAATGACGTTATTCGGATGGGATACTTGAACGTCAAGGTTCGGTCTTACCAATAAAACCAATATTTGGTAAAATGTTTTCATTAGTTTCTTTTTTATAGTCATTCAAATCGCAAATATTGAATATCTCACCTATGCCACTGTTTCACTGCAATGAGGAGACTTCAACTAGCGATAAGACATGAAACTTGCGTTAACGGGTAGTATGTTGTGTCTGTCATGTCACCTGTTTTTCCCAGTCTATCACACACATTATTTCTTTTGTCAATAGTTAGTATACCTCACAATTTTCATGCAATATAGGGAGAAATATGCTTTGATTTGATGGCTGGTAGTTACGTCATATGTGTGCTTTTAATTCCTACGCAACTGATGATGTACTCTAATTGCGAAAAATATATAAAGTGTTGTGTTTTTTTGATATTATATGACGTAGGTACATCACGGAACATCATGTCACTCAATTCCGTCGGTCTGTCTGTCTGACTGCCTGTCTGACAACTAAAACTTGAAAAGTACTGGTCAGATGTTCATAAAAATTTCACATAAGTCACTACTAAGGACGAAAGAGTTTTATAGTGTTGGAAATCGATCCATTGGCAGTGGAGCTATGGGTAAGAAAAGGACAAAAATAAAAATTGCTCAGACTTCGTTTCGAGGTAAAAAATTGGGGGGTGGTAGTGTTGTTCGACTGCATGTAGACCGTCAATCGGCATTTACTACAGATGTACACGTAGTTTCGATCATGTGCACATGCTCGAATTTTTCTCATGGGAAGGGCGATAGATAACTGTGAAAGCGTACCTGCTTCTAAAGCGTTTTAAAGAGCGAATGGTAGCATATTTTCCCAGGGATCAAAATCCTAAAGAGCCCCAAAATTGTACAGAAACGCATACCAAATGTGCCAATTTTAATTGTAGCCTATTTGACATTTATTTTTTGTGTTATACATGTTGGAAACCAAATTGTGCAGAAACTGTCAACCTACTTAACACCATTTTGTTCAACAATGCTATACTCAAAGCAAAAAAATGATCCTTTATATTATCACACTCTTTCCAAAAAGCTTATAGGTTATCAATCCATTTTCTGTTTTTATTTGCAGTCATTCATCTTACCACTGTGTGACTCAATGATAAAAATAACTGCCTTTTGTTATATATGTACATTAATCATACCTATGCCTAACAAGATCGACCCATTAAGTATATCTCTTTCTCAATTACATGAACGCATTTATGTACACATAGCCTCTACAAAACGCGAACCATTAAAGCATATAAAATATTCATAAGTCTTGAATAATTTTACTCGGATACAGTCGTACATGAGCACAATAACAAGACAACATAAAAATCGATCTATTAAATCTCTGGTATCATTGAATAAAACGAGCAGAACGTTTCAGTAGGCATAGGCTCATCAATATTTATTTATTCCAAACGTAACGTAACATCTAGTCAGATGATAAATACATAAATGTCAACCATTAATTATATAAGGCTGATGCGACGTAGCACGCATGATGGTTATCTGGTGAAGTCACTGATTTAATTTTGTTGCAAATTCTGTAACCCTTTTGTCAGCTTGATACTTTGACAGATGCTGCTGAGTTAAACCATTGATTCCGCTTGCTATTCATAATATGTATATGATTTTCGATTTCTTACCGTCAAAGAAGAATTACATATTCATAAGGTAAATGCGTCGTGGTTTACTGGCCAAATTAAATCACATATGGTGGTCTTGTTTAAAGTATTTATGAATGTTAATGACATTGTCTGCTACATCCAAAACAACGTTATGCTTGCTTGTCGCTTTGGGGTGGCTGGACATCTTTTGCTAGCGGGTATGCCTACCCCATGCGATTCTTGGCTGCTGGTTTTGCTAGAAACTGTAGCAACCGTTCAAGCTGTTGTCTTAGCGAAAAAAAAACAAATGAACGGTCACTTGGAAAACAGATAAATATAAGACAGTGTATTCGTCATTGATCAGTACATTGAAATAGATCAGCGTGGTGGCCGAAACGTTAGTAAGGAGTAATTTCAACATATGTGGTTTCATTTGGCAGGAAAAAGTGCTATCAACAAGAAGACTACAGGATATATTTCAGATGTTACATTATAATTTAGTTAGCCAACTACATTTAAGAGTTATTCTATAGTTGCCCTAGGATGAGCAGGCGATCTCTTGGATGCATATAAAAAATCGGGGAACAGTTTCATTTACATGATTGCATCAATGAAATGAGTCGTTTTGAGAAACCAGATGTGTACAGTACAGTTTTCTGATACAGATACGAAAAATAGTACCAATATAATAATAAAAATAGAAAGTATGAGTTAAATATTCCACTGAATCAATTAAAGAACAAAAAATGTATATACGTATATAAATGAACATTTCAAACTTGCTGCTTTTTAAAAATATAAGATTTAATTGTCTTCTTAAATGGGAATTCCCCCAGCCCCACAAACTCCTGAGGGATGTTGTTATACTCCTTAGCTATTTGGTAGTTGAAACTCCTATAGTGGTTTTATGGGTAGGAGGAGTGATAAGGATTCTGAATCTAATATTAATTTTGTGAACTTCTTATAAAGCTATGTATGTCTCTTTTGTGTAATAATTTTAAGATATAAGGTAATCGCAGAAATTTTGAATCTGTTCGTAAACACCGACCGCAAAAACAACAGTCGGTATATGAATTTTCAGATCACTTGATAAGGTTTTATATTTCCGTAATTTTTTTTTTTGGGAATCGGCCGCAGTACGAACAGTGTTGCAACAATAGAGTACAGTGGAGGAATATGTCGCGCTGGGTAATGCGCCACAGCTTGTTATCTTCCTTTTAAGCTTATATTTGGCAACAGTGTTAATTTTAACACGTTCTTCTAATGTAGCAATTTTCTGTGAATATCTGAGAAATCAAATTAATTTTTTTTGGCGGAACAATCCGTTAAATGTATCCAAAAATAGGTGTTGCCACTTTTTGATGTAATAAGGGACAATGTGGGGTAATATGCCAATAGTAGAGAGTGGTGCTCATAACTGGAATATGATGAATCAGAATTTTGTGCCCAAAGTGGCGGTTGTAATGTCTAAAATGTCTTGATTGGGTTCACGAGATATGTACTCCTTCAAACATATATTGTAGCAATTGTGTCCCACTAAATCAACTAGCAAGTACCTCCAGAGCTCTGGATATATGAGATTTATTAGCTTCGTTGTATTACTTAATAATACTTGTCAAGTTATAAGGATTATATATTTTTTCTAACCTAATAAAAGTTGTTCAATTTTTGCTTTTTGCATGATGCCATATTTCCCTAGGCATGATGCCGTATTACCCATAGGTATGGGTAATATGGCCATAGCGTATCATTCAACATTTTTGCTTCTAACGATTTTTCAGTCTGGAATTATGTCTACGAGCATTTTACGTCGCATACTCAAATATACACGCTCTAAAATGCCGCCTTCTTGTTGTGGTTAGGTCGGCTGCTTGTTAGATTGTGAGCTTCTGAAAATGTTGTTACCATATTCCCCCACTTTACTCTATACGGTTTTGAAACAAAATCATTTTTTTCGTAATCAGACCATTTTTTTCAGCAAAATATCATTTCTGGTCCATACTGAATATCTGAGGCAACGATATTACGTTGGGGTTAGCCCACTCTTGGCTATCTAAATTTCCCTATGAACATAATTTTGTGAGCCTTTAATTGGTAATTGAGCTGTTAAAATTTCGTTGAGTTCTTTTAAAAATACAGATTTCCAATAGCAGCCTGCTAATTAAATTCAGAAGTACTTACATAATGACCATTTTCTCCTTTGTGAATGCGAATAATAACTCAGAACCATAAGAAGTCTTTTAAATGTAAGTGTCGGTGTTTTTCTGTCCGTAGTCGTGGATGTCTCTGTCTGTTCCTAGCTGTCATAATCATTGTCGGTGGATTTCCGTAAGTAACTCTTTTAGCCATCTCTGTCTCTCCAAAATCGTCAGTAAATTCTATAGATGCACCCTCTGTCAACACAATAATTATACTTTATTATAGTAGTTGTATTTTTTTGGGACTGAGGTAGATGAAAGGGAAAGCTTCATATTATGCAAAATTGTATCACTTTTACCATGTCATATCACCATTGAATGCTAATCTCGCTATATGTGTATAATTATTATCTAACACGTCATTTCCCTTTTTTCTACCTCAACGGATATCTAAATTGTTAGTTGAAATAAATAATTTCATTGAATAATACTATATTTACAGCTACATATTGTTATAATTTGGTTTTTGAATAATCTTGGTTCGCACACGCCACGTTAAATGTGTAACGCTAACGAGAATTGCATAATCTATTAAAAACAGAATTGCAAAAATGACTGTTAAAATCGACACCACGCAGAACACCTTACGCATAAAAATCGGAGAGGTACATGTACATACTGAAAAGCTATTACCGAATGCCTACGTCCATTCAAAATTCTGAAGCATTGTCCACTCGTTTCCCCAGTGGCGTTACCACTTCCACATCTCTTAATTTTGAATTTGAACTTCACCAATATGAAAGTTTAAGGTTTGTGGGTATCATATAACTAAAGGAGAAAACATCTGGCCAAAGAGGCATTCATTTCGGCTGGTCTGAATCCAGATCACCGAGGTCTTAAGCTGACATGAACCTATCTCGCATATAACGGCAGTTGCTGGGAAAAAGTGAGGCTATTTGTTTAAGGCTTAGAAGTACTTTTCTCCACAAGACCTCGCTCTGTACAAGGCCCAGATGATCTAGCCTCTAGTATTGCTCGCATATTTGGGGTGCTGCCACCCCGACTACATTATCCATGCTCAAGCTGTCCAACTAATCGATGACTCTCCTCTAACGGACGGGCTCGGGACCCGATCTAACTCTCTTCCACCGCTACGCCAATGGAGTTTAGTCCTCGGAGCTCTCCTCCGTGATGCTGCCCGTCTGCCTTCGGCCTACCATTCTAAATGTGTCTAAATTAGTACATCCAGAACTGGCCGATACGACCGCTCTTTTGTCCCTAGGGTGTCGATATTGTATAACAATCTACAAGAGGAGGCTTTTGCCAGTTATGTCAACCTAAGGCAGTTCAAAAGTCTTTGGGACCGTCATAGCAGCCGCCGAGCCCTGACATTTAGGCTACCGCCTGAGCGGCTGCTTCGGTGTAAAAAAGAGCTGCTGAAAGCAGAATTCTGAATTCTAAGCATCACTGCATTTTGCCCATTAGAGACATGGTGACTAATCTAAAAAAAACACCCACCAAATCTTAAAAAAAATGTAGGTAGATTCTTCTGGGTCGTTTATTAGCTAAAAAAATTCCTCAGCTATCCTAAAGTTGGGACTTTCTTTTACAGAGCACACAGGTCATGCAACAATAAGCAAGTTGACCTAGTAGTTTATGGTGTTCTTAATATTTTCACTTTTCCTTTGCTCCAAGGTCTCTTGGAACAATACGTTATTTATTTGTTTACCTATTCATATATTTATTTACTTATTTATGTATTTATTTATCCAAATGAGGCCCCACGTGATTTGTAGGTTAACCTAGCTTTTGACTCTGGATGATTTATACAGGCTGCTATCTAAGGCATTAGATGACAAAGAGATAGCAGTAGCAACCTTTCTAGACATACAAGGTGCATTTAAAATCGCAAAAACGTAATCGTTGGTGAATGCGTTACATCACAAAAATAATATCTGTAACAAGGGATACTACCATTGAAGCCAAGGTGGGGCTGGGATGTCCTCAGGGAAAAGTGCTATCTCCCCTGCTATGGGCAGACCTTTTTTTTATATATCGAAACAGCAGCGCAGGCAGAAGCCTAAATGTTAATACGATTTTTGAACTGCCTAAGGTCAGCAGAACTGGGAAAAGCCTCCTCTTGTAGATTGTTCCACAATCTAGACACCATCGGAACAAAGGAGCGGTCGTATCGGCCAGTTCTGGATGTACGAAGTTTGACACGGTTAGGATGGGACGCCGAAGTCAGGCGGGTCTGTCTGACAGGCACATCGCGCGGCGGCATCATGGAAAAGAGCTCTGAGGAGCAAAGCCCGTTGGTGTAGCGATAGAAAAGAGCTAGATCGCCGATGGCCCACCGGTGCGAAAGAGTCCCGAGACTGTCTGTTAGAGAAGAGTCATCGATCAGTCGGACCGCCCTCCTCTGGACAGCATCGAGCATGGACAATGTATTCGGGGCGGCAGCACCCCAAATGTGTGAGCAATACTCGAGGCTAGGCCTTATCTAGGCCTTGTATAGAGTGAGAAGGTCATGCGGAGAAAAGCACTTCTTAGCCCTAAATAAATAGCTTAGCTTTTTCCCAGCAGCTGCAGCTATTGACGAGATGTGTTCGTGCCAGATCAGGTCCTCGGTGATCTGGACTCCGACCAGCCGAAATGAATAGCTCTTTGGTAGAACTCGGCCGTCCATCGAAACTGTATGAGCGCTAGGGCGCTTTTTGTTCGTCAAAGTACAGAACTGTGTTTTGGAAGCATTGAACTATACAAGATTGTTGCGTCCCCAAGCAGTGATAGCCTCCAGGTCTCTTGTCAGAGAAGAAGTCGTCGCTAGTCTTCTTTTTTCCAGCTCAGCGGCAGAGATCGGCTTGTCACTCTGAATTCCTGCATGTAGAGTGCTGTCATCAGCGAAGCTGTGGATTGGGTTGATCGTACAGGAAAGGAGGTCGTTGATATGTAAGAGAAACAGTGTTGGAGCCAAGACTGATCCCTGAGGAACACCCGAGTTGACGTTGTGGGATGAAGAGGAGAATCCGTCAATTACGACGGATATCTTGCGGCCAGAGATAAAGTCAGCCACCCATCTGCAAAGCTTTTCTGGGAGGCCATAGGATGGAAGTTTGCTTAAGAGGGCAGCGTGCCACAGCTGATCGAACGCTTTCGTGATGTCAAGAGCAACGACATGAGCCTCACCATTGAGACTGGATGAGTTTACTCCACAATTGCGTCACGTAAGCTAGGAGGTCCCCTGTGGATCGTTGGTGCCGGAAACCGTACTGCCTGTCGCTAATCAAGCTGTGACGTTAGAGGTAGTCCAGAAGCTCGCGATTTATGCACCTCTCCATCACTTTACTTATAACAGAAAGCAGAGCTATAGGCCTGTAGTTGTAAGGGTCGGTCTTAGATCCTTTTTTTGAGATGGGTTGTACATGAGCAAATTTCCAGTTTTCTGGGAAGGTGCCGGATTCATAAGATATCTGGAAGAGACGCGAAAGAACTGGAGCAAGCTCCGCTGCACATCTCTTCAGTACGATGGCAGGAATCAAGTCCGGACCAGAAGCTTTGTTGATGTCGAGCGACAAGAGCACTCGTCTTACGATCTTATGCCTGAATGTTACCTCCCGCATAGTGTGAGGTAGCCTTTGAATTGACGGCACTTGGGCGCTGGTGGGGACGTCAATGGTGGAGTTGGCAGCAAAGATCTAGGCTAGCACTTCCACCTTGGCCTTTGAGTCGAATACAATAGTTCCATCCTGACACGTAATTGGTGGAAGGCTACTGTGTGAGAAGTTCTTTTCAATCTGCTTGGCCAGCGTCCAGAAAGACCGACTGCCATTGCGCTGCGACATTACCCTGTGCCTAACTTTTATATCGTGCTGGTTTTTGGCATTGCGAACCGTTTCGTTATATTTGTTTCTGGACTCGACGTCGGCTTGTCTGTTCTCTACAGTGGGGTTTTGTAAGTAGGTTCTGTGTCCCTTGATCTTCTGCTGGCGAGCAGTGTCACACGATTTGTTAAACCAGCCGTTGGACCCTGGTTTAGGAGCTTTCACTGTGTGAGGGATGTATTCCTCCATTCCGACGTGGATAATTTCGGTTATCGAAGAACAGACAGTCGACGCATCTACGTCAGTGAAACAGACATCTCTCCAAGGAAAGCTAGAGAAGAAGTCTCTGAGCCCCTCCCAGTCGGCATGTCCGTAATGCCAAGTTTTGCGGCCTGGACGAGTTTCTGCTGCCACAGCAGGTTCTGACCGAAACCTAACCTCCACAACACCGTGGTCTGAGTTACCCAGGGGGGACAGGGCAGTAGTGCTGTAATGGACAGGATGCGTGGTCAGAAAGAGATCCAGCAGGCTACTGGCGTGTGACGAGACGCGGGGGAAAAAAGTAGGGCTCGTCACCAGCTGGGTCAGCCCTTGAGTAAGAGCAAACGCTTCGACTGCACGACCTGCTGCATCGGTCTTATTTGAGCCCAACCAAAGCTCATTATGGGCATTGAAATCACCGAGAAGAACTATCTCTGAAGCGGGGTGATTGATGTTCAGGAAGTCGATCTGGACGGCGAGGTATTCCAGTAGGTCATCCCAGTTATGGTTCGAGGGAGAGCGATAAAGGCAGCAAATAAATTTGGATGATGTTTTGGAGTTGAGGCGAAGCCACAGAATGTCCTTCCGATCTGATTCCAAAGAAAGATCCCTGGAGCAGGAAAGACTGCTGCGGACAAAAGCCACAACTCCCCCGTTCTTTCTCAGATTGGAGTGCACCTCGTAGTTTGGGAAGTTGAGATGGTTAATCGGTGCAGTCTCTGAGATTTTTGTCTCCGCCAAGAAAAGCACGGCGGAACGATTGGATTGCAGGTAGTGATGAACAGCATCAATGTTGCTGTTAATCCCGCAAATGTTCGAAAAACAAATTTTATCTTCGATGTTGTTCTCTCGAGCCCACCCTCCACCCGGACATTCCGAGTTCCTAGTAGATACACTTGTTCAAGAACTTACCACCGAAGGCTTTTATGTCTGGGGTATGTGGACGACATCGCAGTCATAGTTAAAGGCCGGTTTGTAAGGACCATTTCTAAATGCTCCCAAAGGGTCAGGTGGTGCAGGACTGAAAGCCTAGCTTTAAATCCGCACAAGATAACCGTCGCCACTTTTACACTAAGGCGGGGTCTAGGAGGCCTCACGCCACTAACCCTGCATGGTGTAGAGATTCCCGATGCCAGTGAGGCAAAATATCTTGGAGTCATATTTGACC